TGCAGTCAACCCTATATCAACATGTTCACAATAAAACAGCGCTTATGCTGATATAATTTTTTTTTCTATAATCCCATCAAGTGAAAGTAACTGGCATCGACATACTTGTTTATACCTGCCAACCTAGCAGTTCGTCCAGGTAAATAATGGACAACCCTATGTCGGCACATTCTATATGTTTCATATTTCAAGTCTAGTGTAAAATTTTCTTATTATCTTAATATTGCAAAATTTAATGAAAAATGATTGTTTTTTAAATAATTAAAAATATTCTGTCCAGGATTTTTTCAGCGAACACATTTTTAATAGGTATATTTTCTAATTGGCTAAATTTATTATAAAATATTAGCCCGGTGAAGGTCGATTTAAGTTCGGATCATAGACTATTATAGTTTAGATAGATATATACATTTATAATTTAATATACAGACAAGATCTGTGGTTTATTAGCTACTATATAAAGCAGAATAAATATAAAACCGAATACATATAAAGCAGCAGCAGCAGTTTGTTTCTTTTTTAGTTTGGACGCGGACAGAGCCACGAGTAGTGCTAGTATTTTTTATAAAGTGTCAACTGAACAATTATACCATCTATGAATGAATTGAACGAATTCTTTATTTTGTTATAACGAAGTAAAATGTGCCCAGTTTACTCCGCCAATATTACGCAGAATGGAGAAAAAACGATGGAGATTGGCCGGAAAAAAGATATTCTGATTTCCGATAAGCAATTTAATATATAAAGCAGATCAAAGTAATCTGTAAATAGGTATGTCACTCTTCTTTTTATGGAACCGCAGTTATAAAAGTTTCAAAGTGGTAGAAACATAAGTCTCCGGACCAAATAAACACATAAACCTTTTCTATTTTTGAAATGTTTGCGATTTAAAGTAAAGCTTAAGTTAACACATTTTTAAGCAATAATACGTATAAAGTAGAGAACCTAGTATTATTTTTACTTTTCATATCATTTTGAAAAGAATACGGTGACCTATATAAAATAGCATTAATTTTGTTTTATGTGCACTCAAAAAGTATAACTTCGTAGTCCACTAACCATTTCTAATGTTTATCTTTGGTTTTATTACTGATGATTTAAAACATCTTTTAACTTCATATTTTCAACCGACTTCGTCAAAAAGGAGGAGGTTCTCAATTCGTCGGAACCTTTTTTTTCTTTTTTTTATGTATGTTCACCGATTACTCGAAGACGCCTGAACCAATTTAGAAAATTCTTATTTTGTTTCTTTAAAAAAAATATCGGTGAACTCTGATTTGTATTGGCTGGCACTGACTTCGAAAATATCTGATTAGGTATATATTCTAAATGAAAATCACCGTTTAGTTTTTTTTTTCTTAGAGCCTGGAAGTCGGTTTTTTAAAGTTTTTATAAAACTTAATCAACCCGATCAGTTTTGAGGCGACATATACATACATACCTGCAATAGCAATACCGTTTCCTTTGAGTATCTCAAGTTCATAAAGACATTTTCAATTTTTATGGGAAACTTACATACTCCAAAAGATCAAATAGCAATTATACATACGAATAAAATGTTAAAGTAAATGTTTATAATATACTTCAAAAAGAAGTCAATATTTGGTCTGGTATTTAAAACAAAACTTAAGAGCTGTTTTATGTTAGCAGAACCTATACATCTGTACTTATAATAATATTGTGGAGGGGTCATGACTAAGGCTTTCAGTCTCGTTATATTTACGAGTGCTGGAATAAAAAGAGACTCGGTGTGGTCTCGAAATTCCCGGGAAAACGAGACTTTCGCGATTACTTCAACAATATGTTTCATATTCATAGGCCAGTTAGGCAGTAGATACAAGGTAATTCAATAAAGTTTATTAATCATACTGTTACAAACTCAAATACAAGTAAAATTAACAATTATAATTAGGTCCTTACATAAAAAATTGGCAGTTTTATATGGAAAAGCAAAACGATTTTTTTTTAAATTATACCTATAAGAAATTGTCTTAATTCCGGAAAAAGCCTGCAAGAAATTGTCTTAATTCCGGAAAAAGCGGTAATCTGTTGAAGCAAAGTGCGGGGAGTATGGTGAGTGTCGGAGACATTCCAATCCCAGACAATATAAAATCTAATAAATAAAGTCTCAAAAGTATCGGTACTCCTAAGACTGGCGGTAGCAGTCTCGAGTCTCGAAAACTCGAAAAAATCGTCGAGACTTTCGAAATCGAGACCGAGACTCCCGGGATGAAAACCCGAGTCATTACTTACAATAATTTATATACATGCATACTTATTGTAAATGCGAAAGTTTTTATGTATATATGTGTATGTTTGTTATTCCTTTACGCCAACACGGATGATTAGATTTGGATGAAATTTAGTATCCAAATAGACTAAGGCTTTTTTTTTATTCGTAGGGAAACCCCTTAACGGGTGCCCGAGAGCGGGGGGCGCGCGGGGTATGTGGGACTCCTATCACGAGAAGCACGACAGACTACCCACTAAAACCACCACGGTGATCCCTATCGTAAGAGACAGGGCCACGGGATCGCTTGCGCATTCGACCGCGTAGACTATGACCTGTAGCAACACATAGGTACTGTTAGGCATTTAAGGACGCACCCGAGCGAAGCGGAGGTAATTCGCTAGTATAGTTTTAGTCGTGACAGTACATTAATTATTTATAGAAATTGCTTTTTGCAGTAACCTTTTTTATCGATAAAGACAAAAAAGTTGTTACGCAAAAACTATTCACTATACGAGAATCAAATGGAATTTTGAACAATAATAGGTATGCATACCATACCCAAGCAACATGTATAGTGTAAGTAGTATACTTTTTAGGCAGGGATAATAAAGGATTCCTCCGGAAGAGGTCAAAATAATTTATAAGTACTCTTCAATTTCCTGTAATCTATTGATTTTGATATACTTAAATTTTAGCATACATTATTAAGAAATAAATGAACATGACAAGTAAGGTGGGTGGACCAAGGAGGGCCATGCTTCTTGTAAGGCCGATTATTAAAAAGTCGCAGTTATTGCCATTTGATGACAATTCTTTCTACTAGCACACATCGAACTCAAGGTCTCAGACGCAGCGGCGAGTCGCTGGCGCTTCTGGTTTGTCATTGCGATCCCTCGTTTTGTTGACTTCTTTAGTCGACGGTAAAATTATAATACGCGCTCACAGCAAAACGTTCATTTTCAAATAAATAAACTATTAATTTCTTTTTTTTTCTGAATAAATATATAAGGATTTGCTATGGTAGTAAAGAAAAATTATATGATTTTATTTCAATCTTATTTAAAATATCGGTAGTGTTCCCAGGAAAGCCAATGGTTCCTTGTAACGTCGAAACAAGATCATCAAAAATTGACAGTTGGCCTTGCTAGAGCACAAGGAACTTTGAAGGAACACTTAGGAATCGCGCGAAAATATTAATACTTTGTTTTTAGTTGTAAATACGTATCGGAAAAGGAAAAACAATGTATAAGTTCATAATAATTAATATTTATTGTCTGTTAATATGCCTATAATAAGTTATTGTCTATAATCATGCTTTAAATGTTTCCTTTTAATGAAAAACCTTGTTATGAAGATTAAAGATAATCAGATATTATGTCTCAACGTTAGTTTTAAGTTAAACGACTGATTTATTATATCGGCCATGTATGGAGCCTTGTTTTGTGCAAGACCGTTTTGGAAGAGTTCAATATAGTTATATTGAACTTTAATATATTAACTCACCAATAAAATAAAATAAATTATAAGTTAGGGGAGAGGGAGGCAGTTTAGAACAGAGGCAGTTTTGAATTGTTTGTTTTATGAACGGATCCTTTAACATTTCTAAACTCTGAAACTATTTTAATACTGGTAACACCGACCTAAACATCTGTCAGTTCCTAACTAACGTCAATGTCAGTGTAATTTTAAAAATCATTCGCCGGTTTGTTTACGAAGACCTGAGTAAATAAATATTTTTTTATTTGCAAGCAAATTACTGACAAGGTAAGTATTATTTTCAAGTTGTTATTATTTTATTGCGTTGTATATATTATATCCCGAGTATTACAAATGAAAATTAATTTGAAGTCAAGTAAGTTTTTCGTCCAGAGATATTTATTTATGCAAGATGGTATTGAGGCAGATTTGAACAAAAACTCTGGGGCACTTTTGAATAAAACGTTCAAAAGTGCCCCTATGGGTACCTACCTAATATGCATCCATCATGAGATTTCTAAATTTTAATTGGTTTCTTGTTTCAGTCATCATGGTAAGAAATTACAAAAAGAAAAAAGAAATTTCTGTGAATGAAGACGATGCCGAAAGAGCTGTATTGTGTGTTGTCAATAATGGCATGAAGCTGAGAACTGCTGCTGCTATATATAACATAAAACCAACTACTTTATACTACAGAGTTAAAAAATTTAAAGAGAATATTACTCCAAAAAGTAAAGAATATAGTAGCAAACACACAGTTTGTCAAGTTTTTACAAATGATGAGGAATATATGCTGGAAAAGTATTTCTTGAGAATGTCTAAAATGAACTACGGCCTGACCTACGTGCAAGGGAGAGAATTGGCATACCAATATGCTAATGCCTTAGAAAAGTGTCCTGAGAAGTGGATAAACAATAAGATGGCGGGTATTGAATGGATTAAAGGATTTATGAAGAGGCATCCAATTTTATCATTACGAAAACCCGAAAATACAAGCCTTTCTAGATCTACTAGTTTTAACAGACATAACGTTATGATGTTTTATAATAACTATGAAAAAGTATTACAACGAGGAAATTTTACTCCAGCTCGCATTTATAACTTGGATGAAACTAACATAATGACAGTTGTACAAGCGCCTAATGTAATAGCTAAAACAGGACAAAAACAAGTAGGACAAGGAGTTTCCGCCGAACGAGGCCAACTAATCACTATGTGTGCCATTGTTAATGCTGTGGGGAATACTATTCCCCCAGTATTTATTTTTCCAAGGGCCCGATTCCATGACTCGATGCTTAATGGAGCCCCTGTAGGAAGCATTGGATTCGCTAACAGTCCGTCTAGTGGTTGGATGACAGGGCCTTTATTTCTCAAAGTTCTTCAACATATACAAAAAACCGTTAGATGCACGAAAGATGACCAAATACTAATATTACTTGACAATCACGAAAGCCACTGCACAATAGACGCTATAAATTTTTCGAGAGAAAATGGCATGGTATTATTAACATTCCCTCCTCACTGCACTCATAAATTGCAGCCACTCGACGTTGCAGTAAACAGTCCCTTTAAAGCAAAGCTTGCAGTCGCTCAAAATGATTGGTTGCTTAATCATCCGGGTAAAACCATCACCATTCACGATCTGGCGAGTATTGTTACTCTTGCATATAATGCTTCACACACTATCAATAACATCACATCGGGATTTTCTGCGGCAGGGATATATCCATTTTCGAGAAACAAATTCACAGATGATGACTTTGAATGTTCAGAAGTGACTAATATGCCTGTTCCTGCGCAACAAGCACCTTTGATTGTTGCATCAGAAAATGTAGCAATTGATCAAACTGATGAGATGTTATTTCAGGTTAGTGCTTCTGTGCATCGTAGTGATAACAATAATGCCCTTAATGCTACAGATCTTGATGTGGATCAATCTGTAATAACAGTCACTCAGGCCATTGAAGCATCTCAAATTGTAGTTCCTGCACCATCCGCAATCGACAGTGATGCCACTGATGCTGAAGATATAGAACTTGATCAATCTGTAATTACACCCACCAAGGCTATTGATACAGGTCCGGTTGTTGCTAATTTTGAGAATATGAGTCAACTCACAACCACAAACACTACATCTCAACCTCTCCATAAACTTGACCATGAAGTAGATGAATTTGCAACAATCACTGAGGCAACTGATAAAGCTCCAATAGGGTTAATAATTCCTGAAGCAATAAGACCTTATCCAAAAGCGGCTCCTCGTACTGGAAGAAAAGGAAGAAAGAAAGGCTCCTCGCGTATTTTAACTGACACTCCAGAAAAACACGCAATAGAAGCAGCTTATCTAGACCGTATTAAACGCAAACCTTCAATTGTTCCTTTATCAAAACGAGGTAAATCTACGGCTAAAAACACTTCTACAAAAACCAAGAAGAAGAAAACTTCGCAAGGTGATCAATCAAACTCAGAATCAGATGGAAATATATCTTTGCATGATGATTCTGATATGGATGCAAGTGATAGTCTAAGTAGTTCTGAGTTTGATGCTCAAGTTGCCGAGGGAGAATCAATTCAATATTTGAGAAATGAGGATTTAAATGAAAATGATTATGTGTTGGTAAAATGTCACTCTACTAAAAATGATGCACAAATGTATTTTGTGGCAATTATTAAAAGAAAAGACAAAAGTATGTTTTTAGTTTCTTTCATGAAAAAGAAATTTGGTTATAAATTTTTGTTCCCTGACAAAGAAGATCAATCTTTCATTCCTATTACGGATGTTGTGAAGAAACTTCCAAAACCATGTCCTGCTGGAGGAACTTCACGAACAGCTGCTCTTTTAACCTTCAAATTTGACTTTAGTAAATTTAAACTAGGCTAAGTTCTAACTACCAATGTTTAAATTTGTTACTTTTTAATTTTTATGTTTTTTCTTCCTGGCCTTTAAGGCTATTTTGATTGTTTATTTTATAATTTAAAGCTTTTAAAGGACGTTACTAAGACTCATGTCATATTTTTAAGATAGGTATCATAAAGGTACCTTTATGTGATTGTTTTGCAATATTCATATTGATCTCTTTTATAACTTGTAAGTTAGTTTAATCTCGTTCAAGACTGCCCCAGACTGTTTAGAGTTTTATACAATTTATTTAAGTAATAACTAGTGTAGGTATAAATGGCTATGTTCAATGATAATATAAGGTGCAAATAACTTAAGTATAGTGTTGATTATATTCTAAGTTACGTGGTTTTTATTTTATCCTGGTTTTACAATACTGCCCCTAGGGGTTTCAAATGTGCCCCTTGGATGAGGCAGATTTGAACAAAAAATGGTTTTTTTAAAAATGGAAATTGCGTTAGTTTGATAGGTCGAAATAAATAAATATCATTTTTATTATTTAGTATAAACCCCATATCTATTTATAAAATATAATACATCTTGATTTATAACACCATATGAGAAATATAATTTAAAAACTAAAAAGTGTTCAAAGGTGCCCCCCTCTCCCCTACATAATAGAACAAAGTGTTACTTAATAAATTGGGTTTTTTATCATTTATCCATTAAATAAAAGAAAAATAACTATTTATTTTAGAACTATTTATTTGTTAGAGGGGCCTTCTATGGTCCACCTACCTTATTCTATAAAGTGTACTATATTCATTCTTATATGAACAATAGGAACTATTACTTAGTAATAGAACAATTTCCTAATTTCATTCTCTTCCTATTAGTGTGACGTAACAATACACATATATATATATATATATATATATATATATATATATATATATATATATATATATATATATATATATATATATAAATGGCACAACTGTAAATATTTATACTGCAGTGAGTATTAAGTAAGCCTATTTATTTTAACTAGTGTTCATCCAGTGGTCGAAATTCAACCATTATCTTTTTTCATATAAAGGTGGTTGTAGGCAGTGGTAGCCCAGTAGTAACGCGCTCGCTTGGGAAATTGAGTGAAGTGGGTCCAAATTCCGGGTCTGACACCTCTGATATTTTCATGTGCGAATCATTTCCAACATGATTAGTACTTGTCTTAACGGTGAAGGTAAACATCGTGAGGAAAACTGCTTGTCTGAGAGAACCTAGCAAGTTTTTAAAAGACAAGTGAAGTCCGCCAACCCGCACTTGGCCAGCGTGATGAACTATGGCCAAATTCCCCTCGTACTGAAGGGAGGCTCGTGCCCAGCAGCGCGACGTTAAAAAAAGTTAATTCTAAAACATGTCAATAGCTATCCACTCAACAAAAAAATAAAATCGGTTGACGAACAGAGTAGAAAATATAATTAAAAAAAACTAAATCGACTTAAAAAAAATTACTCAAAATTATGAAATATTATTTATAATATATACACGAAATTAACCAACAAAAACGGAATCAGAAGTAGGTACGAAATAAATTAACGGCCTACAGTTTTGTTTGATGTTGGTGCTAGCACTTAAGAAAAGTACCTATTGAATATATTCTATTTATATTCAATGGCATTACTTATGATTTTATTTTACTTATTACTTTTGATTTTATTTGTATACGCCGCGGATTTGTACCGTGAGGCAGTTCAGTTTCTGTCATTTAGATTTTTCTTATAAACACTAGAATTTAACCAAGGTTTTAAGATGTTATCTCTTAAACACCACACCCGTAGCTCTTATCAATAAGCTAGGCCGTCACACTTACATAATATATTAGTCCGTATTTTGAAAACTACTAACCGATTTTTATGAAGCTTGCACTGTTCCCTAAGTTGAAGTAAATGTAAGGCAATAAAAAAAGAATGTCACAATCCAATAAATAGTTTCAGAGAAATGCGTGGACAAACACATACAAACATACATAAACATAAAATTTTGTGTACATTTTTCTTTGGAAGCCCTAATAGATTATCATATTACTCGTATCTGAATATATTGCAGTTCCATTATTAGATATCTAATTACGTGTATGTGTCGAATTAATATGCTCCTTTTTTTGAAGTGAAGCTATTGCGAACTTTCCTGTAAGCCTTTTTAAGACCTATAACTTTGTAGTACTTTGTTATAAAATATCTCTTAAGGTTTAGCCAGCATTAGTCATATTTTGTAAGATCGATTCGACAGAACCAGTTTACCGTGTTATTAATAAAAGGTATCCTAATTGTTGACCCGAGTACTATTCTGTTATCACTCCATAAAATTTAGTTGAAATCGGTTCAGGGCGTTTTGCGTGAAATGCTCACAGATATACAAACAGACAATCAGACCAAAATTTTAGTAACTATTGTTTTGGAGCCTATATTCTGTACACATGACGTAGCTGTCATTGTTTTAATAAATATTTCATGTACAGATTTCGCTTCGTTACTATTTTTATACGTACAGATATAATGTAAAATAATACAAAACTAATTTAATTTTGAACAATGATGTATCCATATTATGTATTAAGTACTTAGCCTTTCACATTGCCTTTTACATAGCCTTTTACGTTTTACATTGAATATTATTTATTATTATTATTATTTCTACGAGTATTCCCAAACAAGTAATTCAAAGTAAATTTTCATAAATATACATTAATCTTTGTCTTAAAATTTATAATTTAGTGGCTATATCCAATATTATCTTAAATTATTTCCCGTCAGTCTTACATTAAGAAGTCTATTGGCTTTTAGACAATAGAAAATTAAATTAACTGAAATGTCAACCTCAATTTACCGCAGCTGTAACGAGTTTCTTGAGTAATAAACAAAGAATTTCACACTTTTAAATATTTTTTCTTAAATATTCGGCAAATTATTATAATTAGGTACATGATTCTCTGATATGGTTATTATAAAAGCATGTTATAAATAAAAAAAAAATCATGAGTGAAATTTAATAAATATTAACTTAAAATAGATATTTTAAGTTAATATTTATTATTTTGACGACACGTTCACGTTTGGCTCAGTTTGTAGTGACTATACTTGCTGTGCCAGCGGTCGCGGGTTCCAATCCCGCTGCGAGCATTCATTTGTGTGATGACAAATGTTTGTGCTCCAGTCATGGGTGTTTATATTTATAATATGTATGTATTTAAAGTTATATATGTGTAGTGTATCAACTATCTGGTATCCATAACAGAAGCCTCGTAGCTTACCATGGAACTAGATGGTGCTGTGTGTAATGTCGCAACATATTTATTTATTTTATTTTTGATTTGATGTTGATATTTAGTTTAATTCAGATAATGGTATTAATTTAAAATATTTCTTCTACGTACCGCCCTTAACGCCCTAGTATGTTATATGTACTATATGTTAATACTATGTAGGTAGGTGTCTAAGTATAATATTTGTAGGCTTAAAATAAGTTTTTAAATTATTATTTTTTATTCAATTCCTTGTAAAAGCGTTCAAGATTATATTCTTATATAATTTATTTATTTATATTTAACTAAAATATATTATATATTAAGTATTTCAAATATTAGACTATATTTTTATAACCAACCAATTTAAGATTAGTATTTCTTACAGTTAATTCAGTTATTTTAGTTACGATCTAGAATTACATTTTAATTACCTTTATATTGCACGCTGATCGCTGTCAATGGAAGCCAACATTCGTTGTGGTTAAGTTACGAAACGATGACGCAAAAAACGGTAGACCGGTTGTTTTTTAAAGCTATAAACGGAAAAAATATAGTTCCGAATTTTTTGAGTAAGCCTCAACGTATTGTTTAAATACAAACTGTTTACACCTTTTTATTAATCAATGTGTAAATCTATACAATATTATAATAACTAATATTATAAATGTGAAAGTATGTTTGTTTGTTTGTCCTTCTTTCACGTCGAAACGGAGTGACGGATTGGAATATTTTTTTAAGTGAAGATAGTTAAAGGGCTGGAGAGTGACATAGGCTACTTTTTACCGCGGGAGATTATCTGATTCACACGGGAAAATACTTTATAATACAAGCCAAAAAAATATTTACGATCAGAATTAATTGAAACTTGGTATTAACGCTCTTCAATACAATTCAATAAATACATGTTTTAACATTTTTCAAAAAATATCCCGTAAGGCGGTAAAATACGGGATGAAAGTTTGTATGAAACCTACCTTTTTAGAGTGTTTTTTTGTAGTTTTAGCGCGAGCGAAGCCGCGGGTTCTGCTAGTGAAATATAAATTTTCAATACGTTATTTCTACATATATAGGTATGTATTTATAAAAAATATTTATGAAGTTTCCCATATTTTGAAAATACTTTTTTCAACCGGAATTCCAATTATTCTAAATATAAAGCTAATATATATTATCCCAGCTGTTCTACAATAAATTTCTTCGAAATTTTTAGATTTCGCTATCTATTTAATATTATATCACTGTAGAAATTGTTATTACTTAGTTTGATTAAAAGCGCTAATCTCTGAAACTACGTGTTCAAATACGAAATTCATTTTACTTTATATAGAGAAAGTATTATCAGATTACGACCTAAGGGTCGTAGAGCAAAACAACTATCATGCAAAGTGTAGTAAGGAACTATATATTTTAAAAAGCGGAATACATAAATAAATAAAATACGCGAGAGGAGCCGAGAGCAAGAACTAGTTAAGAAATAATTGTCCTAACTTTATTAAAATCGTAAAAAAGTTATCATCTCTATCTTGTGAAAGTTTTACTTTTTCTGGTATAATATAATGGCAAATGTTCAGAAAATTATTACGTTATAATCACGGTAATTAACATGACCAACATTATTGTCATTGCAATGATTATGGCATAACATCATAGTTTTATACGTATACGTAATATACACTATTTTTTACATAACATGCATTATAAGTTTTATTTTCTGTACATAAAGTAGAAATGGAATCGCAAAATATATATTTATATACGGGACATACATACAAATATATTAGTGTTATATATGTCTGACATAGTTAAGTCAATAAAATACTTTTTTGGTTTATACTTTTGACAATGTAATAAGTTTTGAGAATTCTACAAACCTAACTGAACAGACGCTACTAAAGGTTTACATTATGGTGTACTCGTAGATATAGTGCTCCTGCGAGCCAGTAACAACAAAGTAATTTACCTAAAAGTTATATTTAGCTAAAATTTTTCACTTACCTAGTTGGATTATTAGCAACTTTGTTTCTTTAAATTCTAGTACCGATTTATTAAATTTATATTTCATTTCTTCAATAAAGTGTTGAAGATAATATTGACAATTTTATCGATAATTATTAGTAATAAAAAAGTGCCGCATCATTTTTTTAAATCAACATATACACGATGATTCTAATTTTACGTGAAATAATAAACATATTGAATTTATATAATATCGATCTATCTTTATCTGTTAACACAATGGCATCGAAATGTTACACTAATATTCCTCATCCAAACTGAATATTTTATTTGTTATTAAAATTTTTCATTCAATTATTATTATTGTTCGTTTGAACTCTATGTTGCGTTCCATTCATACCAAGGCCGAAGGGGGGACTGTCCGACGTTCGCAGGTAATAAAGACCGCGTGTCGAGGTTGAGGAACCATACCCCATGACGGCGTAATCCTTACTTTTACATGCATTAGCTTCATAATGTTTCCAACTTTGACAACGAACACCCACAAAAGATTTAGGTATTCTTATACTTTCTGCATAAACTTCAGCCGCCCGAAGGTGACTACAAGAAGGCATTATGCACCCTGGTTGCTGTGGACCCCCTCCATTAATATAAAAGTCAGCATGGCCCAAAGGTTCGGTAACTCCTTGTACTAACATATTTGAATGCATAACATCTACATATTTAGCATCCATTTTATCTAATCTTTGATCGTGAAAAGCATAAGAAAAACATGGACCTGCAGGATCTAAGCCAGTTATACGGCCTATGGAGTGAGATTTATATTTATGAAAATATTTCCCAGTCCAGCCTGCTATGTGCGCACCTAAACTTATACCAAGCAGGTGAAAATCGTCAGCGCTTGCCCCAAAATTTTCTAAATTAGCTAATAAATTAGCCAGTCTTTTCCCAATAAGACGAGCATTATGCACAGATAGAATATATCTTTGATTCATCATCTCCTCAGCATCCACCAGAAGTACATTAAACATATCTTTCTCATAATAGCCCTGGGCTATATCTAATGATACCGAAGATTGTGAGCTGTCTCTGAATCCATGAATAATTATTTTTGTTTGTTTCGTTATATCAAACATTCCAGGCTGAGTTAGTGCGTTAAACGCTTTATCAATGGAAAAGCTTTGGCTTCCAGTATCATCCAGATAAATTATCTTCATAGTCTTCAATATACCATTTTGGCTTGTCATTGAGTTAAACTGAAAGTCCAAAAGAGCACGACCTGTAAGTGCAAATAATTGTATTATTCACTTTGTTACTTTTTAATGTGAAGGCTAAAACAGTTCACTTACATGCACTGGACATTTTAGCATACAAATTTTCTACAAAACTTAAGTTTGATTTATCACTTTGCGCAGTTACTTCTAACACAAATAAAAAAATTATTGTGATTGACATCGGTAGTATAATAGTGTAGAGGTTCATGGCAAAACCTCCGCGCGAACACGGTCACTGTGTCACTGTCTGCACTAAGAGAAAGGTCCGGTCAGTATCTCGCCAACTACAGCAATGGCTTAAGATTTGGAGGGGCTTGTGTTTGAAAAATAATATCCATTGCACTACATTCGCTCTTAGAAGGCCGCTCCGTGTTGCTATGCACAAGTTGAAACAATTGATGAACGGCATATATTATGTACTTAAACGAATATAATATGTATCATGACATTTTAAACATATGTATGTATTATATATTATGTATATTATGTTTATCATATTATCATTATTTATAATAAAAAGTTAAAATACAAGCCGCAATCCACATGCACAAAAATATTCTTTTACGTTCAGAAGTAATAATAATCTTTTACTTTGTTGCGTTTATTTCAGATTGACCTAAAATTGATTTTAAAAAGAGAGTTTGACAAAAGCTGTAAAATAGTAATAATCGAGAGATAGGTTAATAATTTTGATCATTACTAATAAAGATGTTTTCTTTAGTCGAGTAACTTTTTGTAACATAATATACTTTTATACGTAACTCTCGGCAACTACTTTATTTATTTATCCCGGGTCATTTGTAGCTTACATATATTATGTTTCAGCTCATTGAAATATGTATCTATGTAAAAACTTCGTTGCCCAATTTTTGTGTGCAAAATAACAAACGAACCAACACTAGAGTATTTATTATATCTCTTAACGACCTGTCGTTACTAGCTATACTCGTAATTATGTTTCAATTGTGTGTCGGACTAGGACATTGAGAGTTTCGTACCACTACAATTTGTTACGTATTGACCAATAAAAGGATTGTTGGATGTTGAATAATGGTTGAAACCATTAAACACTAATTATAGAAGATTAGTATGTCCATAGTGTCCAGACTCTTGGTTATGGGACAATAAAAAGACATAGAATAATGATTATATTATAAAATTTGAATAAGAGTTGAATAAAAGATAAATTAGATATTGCGAATGATACTAGGAATGCAAGTAAATACTATTACATAATGTACTAACATTTCGTGTGCAATTTAGACGGATAAATGGGTTAAAATATTAAGTTATATGCAATAAAATCTAAATCAAATACGTCGAAAATGTACGTGTACAGGCTTTTCATATGCTCTCTAGCTAGGCGTGAACTGTAGTGGTTTCCATTAAAGTACTGTAGTAAATAAAAGTTATGTTTAACAAATATTCTCCTCGCTTCTCTTTATTTAAGATGATTTCTTATCCTCCAGAGATATTTTATCTCCATTTTAACGTTAAATAATTACTTCACATCTTAACTTAATTATAACCCTTATTTTGTTATTTAATCTTATCTAATAAATTTAAAGGATAGCAGTAAAAGGATTATTTACCTCCTCTTCAGCTTAAAATAAGTATACCTTACTTTGCTAATATTTATATATTTTATCTTTTCGTACTTGTCCTTGTAGAGAAGGATTTATATAATTGACCCCTGATTCCATGTTTCGCCAGAATCGCAAAAGCTTATTGGTCAGTGGTACCCAGATTGGGACAAATATCTATATAGTCTATCCAACCTTTCATGCTGTATGAGAATCTAATACTTATATATTGATTAGTAAGTAAGTTTGAGGAAGATATTGTTGGTATATAAAATAAGATATATTTTTGTAATTTTTAAGGTATTACTAATTTAAAAACTAATTTACGAAAACGTTTACATTCACTTAATAATATTTGTTTTGAACACCCTGACCTGCAGTCTGTTTCTCTTGTTATGATGATAATGAATATTTTGGCGCGAGTAATAAATTACTATATAATAAAGTCTAATCTCTAAATAAAATACCACAATAGAAGGTATGTGACTCATAGTCATAATATATGACACATCAGAACATCGATGTTAAGAAACGCAATACTACTTCCCCAGCAAGTCACAGCTATCACAACCACCGCTTCCCTAACCTACCCACATGCTAAACAATTAGTTTATTGAGAAAGAAAACGCGTGTTTGTAGACATAATTCCAGCATTCCGATACAGCGAGTGGATGAATCCGATCAAATATGAGCATATGATAAATACTTAAGTAGGTAATCAAACATCTTAATTACAATACGTGCAGATTCGGCGTGATATTATTCGGTATGGGGTAAGTGGCGTGACGGCGGGCACCCAGCCGTGGGCGGGTAGCGCCGTGCGCCGCCGCCTGCCAGTAGCTGCCCGCCGCCACGACAGTCGCTCGTTCCGCTCTGAGCTATCACAACGTGTCGCAGCCGCCGTACCGGCACGAAAATCGCTCAAAAAGCTCGGTGTCCTTTCTAGTGTCTCACGTAACTCTAACTCGCCGTTCCAGAACCCCCAAACGCGTTTCTCCCGCACCCGTAAGTTAACATCGGTCTTTATACACCTTTTTATTATTTTAATTGGTTTTATGTGCTTATATTTTTTTTGCTTAATTTATTTCGCTTTCTTATCGAGTGCTTGCTCCCAATTGCTTATTTGCAGTTTGTTTTTGTTAAATAAATCTGAAGTTTTATGTAATAAAGATATTATTTTTTTATTTTTATTGTTTTATTTTATTGTCATTTTGTTAATTGTTGGTTATTACTCTTTTGTTCTTATAATAACCGTTTTTATAGATATTAATTATATGAATAATATAATATGATTTACATATATGCGCGGCATTAGATAGAATGGGTTATAGGTACATACGTATTTTAGCTCATGTTTATTAAACTATACAAAGTAAATCCTCATGTACCTTACAAGCTTATTACCATTAAAAACGGTAATATTTTCACTTAAACAGATATTAAAATATCTGTTTAAGTAAAAAAGATTGCAAAACCCAAATTATCCTTAACATTTCGTCACGTCTCTCCTGAAGCGACTTAACTTTCTGACGTCGAACGTGACGTCACTAAGATTCAGAATGTTGATCTATGCTTCGATTCGATGAAAGTATTTATTTGTTTTCTATTTTTGCTAAATAAACATTTACAGAACATGACACTTTTTTGTATAAAAGAAATAACTTCCTTTTAACATAAAATAACGTTGATAATTATTTGCTGTGCCGTATGTGCCGCGTTGCTCTAAAGTGACAACAATGTTGAGGTATTTTTAAACACATATTTTCGTCCTTCTAAGTATACAATTATCTTTTTTAGCTTTTTCTTAGTAAATCAATATTAAATTACATCTTCCGTGGCTAGCGTGTTTAAAAACTTAATTTAAAATTTAAAATGTGCCTCCGCTAGAAAAAGCTTAGTTAAGTAGGAAGTCGTATTAGAAAGGGGAAATTACACGAGTATACTTATAATTGCTTATTTTTTTTCTTTGAAGATAAGAATATTTGCGTTAGTCTAAGATGGGCGCCGTTTTTAGTAGAGCTTATTGGCAAATTCTGTAGTTATCTTTTAAAGAACATAAATTAAAATCGCTGTTTATCGCAATTATCTTTTTCTTAAGTAAATATTATCATGTAAACTTAATTTTCATAAAGGTTATATTACAGCCATCTTATGAGTCCTGAAAGTGAGTAATAAAGGAATAATGAGTGCGATGGGAGTCATAGGGGCTTAAAACCATTGTGTCTTATTTACGATTTGGTTCACTCGGTCTATAAAATATGTTTTAAGAGTTTCTAGTACGGAAAAGGTGTAAATATGTGAAAGAGCCACTAAAACAAATGTGAGAACGTTATTTCACTACTTTGTACCTAAAATGATTGCAAGAGTTATTGCAGATATTTTACTATTTCAACATTTATGATGTTCTTAAATTATATAGTTTTTAGTAGCGATTTACATATAATAAATTAAAATATAATATAAAATATTAAATAGATCTTTGCCTATAAAGTTGCCGTTTTACAATACTGACTGAATAAATTCTAATTTCAAATGAATTTTATTTTAAAAGTATGGGATTCTTTTTTCAAATTTAGTCATTTGTTTATTGATTAGTGTTTTGTTTTCATTACATTTGTATCTTTTTCTTCAATACGTGCCCATATTGAAGAATAAAAATACTAGTAATTATTATTATGGAATACGAGTTCCGTCGCGGTAGCAATTAATGACGTGTACGGAGTGAACGATTGTGGTTTGAACGCTTCCGACATGGGACTTTTAATCTAAAAAATGAACCCCGTGGTCACCCGAAAATAAAAATCAACAACGACGAATTAAAGGCGATAGTGGAAGCTGACGATACTCAACTTACGGCTGAGGTAGCAGCAGCTTTCAACGTTAGCATCAAAACAATATTGGTGTCCTTGTGTCAAATTGGCTGGGTAAATTTTTTTATAAGTGGGTTCCGCATGAACTGAATGATCGCTAGCGCGACGAACACGGTGAGTTGTGCCTTGCATTGCTTAACAGACACAGAATCAAAGGGATTTTGAACCGCATTGTCACTTTCGATGAAAAATTGTTTTTTTTTTTGATAATCCCTGATTCAGCACCTAGGCAATGCTCCAAGCGAAAACTTACTCCTAAAACAGTCATGGCCACTGTTTAGTGGTCTAGTGCCGATATAATTCATCACAGCTTCTTACCAAATGGCACTAGCATTACTGCGGATGTGTACTGTGAGGAACTGGGCACAATGATGGAGAAGCTCACAAATCTCCGGCCAGCTTTGGTTAATCGCTCGTCCCCGCTGCTCCTACATGACAACGCTCAACCTCATACGGCACAACAGACGGTCTCTAAACTACAAGAGGTAGGGTTGGAAGTTTTGCGTCATCCACCGTACTCGCCAGACCTTGCGCCGACAGACAAAATTTGGACAACTTCTTGGCAGAGAAAAAATTCAATAGGCAGTACAAAATGCCTTCGAAGAGTTTGTTGGCTCCCGTACACCTGGCTTCTTCAAGAAGGACATTGGAAAATCACCACTACGCTGGCAGAGATGTAACGATAGCATGGCTACATATTTATGATTGATAGAAATATTTTTTTTTTAAATGACTAACTTTCTGTACGTCAAACGGCAATTTCATAAGAAATCATATTATAATCGTAAAAACATAATTTCGAGACAAATTACACGATTTATTTACTTTAAAAAAATCTAATATATAATTATAATTAATATATAACTTTTGTAATATTTTGATTCACAAAATGAAATATTACATTCAATGATGAGTCATTAGCTTTATTATTATTACTAATAAATCAGTACTAGAAAATTTACCAATCACGTGAAATATTGATTGTAAGACTCGGTATTACTTACAAACACAGAATAGTCTTCCAAATTGAATGATTCGTAGAAATATTTTTATAAAAATGAACGAGAAAGTTGATCGTTGGCAGCAAACAGTTGGCAAGCGGTTTAAATGAAACCAAAACAATTTTATATCGTAAAGTTTAAGATAAATAAAATAGTTAACACTGAAAACAGTATTGGTTTTCCCTTTTTAGTATTTTTTTCGAATTCCTATAATTTACTGTCTGTCATCGAAATAAGTATACATTAAATTTTAATTTATAAAAGCTGATGACAGAACCTATTTTTGAGCTCATACAAAAATCCTATATAGCAAAATTTCTTTTCCAGAATTTCTTAAGTAATTTTGACTCATGATTATTAAAAAATCTTATATTATTATTGTTATTATAAATGCTGTTACGAACATTTAAAAAAGGAATTAGCCAAAACCGATCAACCGTGTTGGTCTTATAAGCGCATTTCATTTATATGTTTGTATATTAATGATATAATTATTATTCGTTTTTTCGCAATATCCCTAGGGTTTTCGCGAAAATTTGGATTACCAAATCATCCTACGACATATATGATTTAATTATTTATTTAGATAAACCAGTAAAATTTAACGTAATACAAAGCCTGTTATATACAGCTAAATGCAATAACAGGTAAATATGGATATTTTTATAGCGTTTTTCCGGAACTTAGATAATAAATTTTCTAATAGAGAATAGAATTTTACAAAAAAAATGGGATTTATAACAATGAGGTAAAACAGTTCTGAGGAAAGGCAGTTTTGAGGAAAGGCAGTTCTGAGGAAAGGCAGATTTAGGTTTATAGAATTTCCACATCGAAGTATGTGCGTTTCTATATTTGTACCACCATCCATACCATCTGGATGTGCCCTGTGAGAAAGCCCGGTGGTATCGGTACGAAACACTTTTAGAGTCTTTGAACTATAAGATCACAAACAATAATAGTATCCTCAGACTTCTATACTATAGTTTTATATAAAGCAGTTTCTAGAAAATTGGAATTGAAAATCATAGATACAATTTCGAATAATAATGTACCCTAGATTTTTGAATAGACCTTTGAATTTTGCAGACGTTGTAAATAATACTATCGATGTCTCTTACAAATAAGTATAACAAGTAAGTATTTTTGTAGACTACATACATCTTTAATATATTACATTCATGTATCAATTATGTTAAAAGTCAAGATATTCAAGTAATATTTTGTCGTTATACCAGTTTTTTTTGTGAACGTTAGGTTAGGTGTTGTCATTGCCGTTTATTTTACGCCAATTATGCAAGCTTGTTATATCGTCTTATAGATTTTTTTGTCGTGGCTGTTGGTTGTTAAACCTTTAAGAGTTTATAAGGTATCAGTAAATATAAATGTTAAAGAGTATTTAAAAGATTTTTACTTATTTACTTACGTTTATAAATATATTTAAATATTGAATTGAGGCTTACGGTTCACCAGATGTTATGTAGAATTTTATAGATTCCAACCCTAACGGGCAGCTAACGCTGCGACATAGACATGCATATGCATGTGAGTCAGGTATCATTTAATATCTTAAACTGGTAGTTTAAAAATTAATATATAAAAATACTGTACGAACGATCTTTGCATATCGCCATTTTGTTGAAATACACCATTATTTTTAGAAACTGTTAAAAATTACTTCTAGAAATAGGATATAATTACTTGTATTGTTGCTGTTCTTAAAACGAAGACTAGACGATTACATTGCCTTGATTGAGATATAGATATTTTTATAAATTATTTGATAATTAGTGACTCACGTATGTTTTAACGTACATTTTTTGTTTTAGGTTTAGCATAGATTTCTCAGAGATGAGTCATTTTCTCGTAAAAATTATCTTTTATGTTGATAACCAGCTATCGTTCTACCACATTCAGACATACAAAAAAATTAAAAACTATATATTCGCCTCTGTATCGATAATAATGACTATTTCAATAAGATTTTTCAAAAAATATTTAATGTACGGATTTGACTCAGAATTTTATTATAAGTATAGATATAGATTAATAATTACGTATTTTGATACTAAAAAATACTAAAAAATGCTATACGTAGATGTGCCCAAAATTTAAATCAGATAACCAATGGTTGTGT